AGCAGTAAGCATTGCAGAGGTCAGGTAGGAGTCTGTCCATTCTACCCTACCCAGGCTTCCCTGGACAGAGATGCAAAAATGTCTTTATAGCTATATACGGCAGCCCTTCATATCTTGACATCTCTACTGTACAAAAGGGAGGGAGAGAAGTACTCAGGTCATAACAGGTCATCCTGGTCAACATGGGACACTTCTTTGAGGACTATAAATACCTGAAATATGATACGTAACTTAGCAAGAATCCCTTTTGTTTTTTGTTGGTTTTTTTTTTTTAATTTTCTTACATAGAGAATCTGAGGGAAACCTTGGGAGAAAGGAAAGAAGATTTTGTATATCCTTTCAGATTAAGTCAAAACTAACCATGARCTTAAGGTGGTTTAAACATAGCTTCATAATTATCATTGCTATATAGATGTTTCCCAAGTTGGCAGGCTATTTATGTTRTTTTATAAACCCACAATCACAGAAAGTTTGTAACCACTGAATATATATTACTTCTGCAATAATTCTTCCACTGCTARTATTACAGAGTGACAAAAGAACCTTTTCTCTTGAATGAAGTTTTGTAGCCTTAATGCAGCAAGTTAAAAACTCCCAGAATATGCAGTTATTAATCCCACCAACATTACTGAATAGTCTAAAACAGGATAGAAATGTGATTCATGCCTGCACTTTAGAGAAATGTTGTGAAAAACATCATAAATCAGCACGAGGGTTCAGAAGCCTGTAGTGAAGTGTGATAAAGTGCTTTACTGAACTAGAACTAGTGTTTTTCAGTATCTTATAAAAACAAGTGTTGTAAAATATCAAATATTTGACACAAGATTTTTCATATTTGATGTGTGTAACCGTGAGAATGTTGGTAACCATTTATTTGGACAYTTGCATGAAAGAACTTTATTTCAACCTTTGAAGCCTTGAGACGTTAATTTCTAAAGTATTTTCGATGGTCACAAAAGAAAGGGGCTGATAAGCTTTGAAGACGGGCTGTGGATCTTGAACTTCTCAATGGATAGGATTAAAATGATGTGTGACACAGTGTTGATAATCCTTCCAGAAGCTGATGGCCTGACTACACTTGTGGTTGCTCTTGGGGGAGAAGGGCTCCATGCAGTACATCATAGCTCTGATTCCCTAAATCTCTCCCTCAAGAAAACTGGAACATGCTGTGACAACCCATGCACCTTTTTTTTTTATTTTTTTTTTTTCTGAAGGTACAGGGAGAGTTCAGTGCCACACAGACAGGATGCAACTACAGGACATCTGGATGAGAGATTGGGCGGTAAATCTCAAGTCCACAGTGCCTGCTCCTTTGGTGGCAGCTGAGGAAGCAGAGAAACAAAACGAAGGAGGAATAAATTACCCTGTTTGGACTCATCAAAGCAGTCCATCTCKTATTTGACATGAATTAATAACTACCCAGCAAGTCAAAATTAAATCTCAATTTCTCAGCTTTTTTGTAATATCAAAATTTTTCTGAAAGAACTGTCTTTTCTTGAAAAATAGTGTTCCTGTTTAATGTACTTCTTGAGAAATAATTAGAGGAATATATTCACATATTCTTGAAAAAAATTATTCTGTGGTGAAGATTTATGACATTACTTCCGACATGATCATTGTATGAAAATATCTTAACGGATCTTAATGAAAAGAAGTTTTTAAGCTTTGCTCTGTGGTTTGTCCTTTGTCTGTAATTCCCAAATTTCAATCATCTCATAAGGAATTTATTGCTTTTTTGATGAAAGGTTATTATACATTATTATGCAATTTTCTTTATTTATGCCTATCATTAAAGCATAGGAGTAGATTACCTCAGAGATATGTGGTGAAATGTGTGAATTTGCTTTCAGTAAGTTACAACAGAAGTTTTTGATGGCAGTGTTTTTTCAGTTATTTGTGTTGTTGTTTCCAAACCACATGATTTCTTGCCAGAAATCATAGTAGCAAACCTAATCAAAATTAGCATGTTCTAACTACTGATAAAATCACTAAATAACACTGTTGACACCTGCTGACCTGAGATACTGTTTGTCTAAATTATGAGTTAAACACGTTAGAACTAATATCGTTATTTCCTAGACACTCAGAAAYCCTCAGAATTTTGAGTACCCCACAATTTTTTAAATTAATTCCATTCTATCTTAAACTAGGCTTGTATGGAAATGAGATTTTATTTTGGTAACCTTCAGTGGGAATTGGCTAGTGACAGAAATKAGCATTACTGTAAAAATTGAGCATTTGTGCAGAACGTTACCCATTGTAATTTCTCTATTAACACTTGTCATAACAACACTTCACTCTTCAAAARCCTATTTTGTTCAAAATCATAAGGGATCATTCCTTTTATGTATACAGAGTGTCATTCTAAACTGTTTGCTTTCATGGAATTGGGGTTTTTTCCCCTCTTTATGTCAAATATGTTTGCTACCTTCATAGATCTCTTTGAGACTGGATCTTAGACTTCTGAAAACATGAAATTGGGAACTATTTATCCTCATTCAAATAATAAATTGATGTGAAATGAGTTTCATGGCAGATGAATTCCCTGGAAGCTGTTTAATAATAGCTTATGTAGTTTGCAGAATTGCAGCTGGCAAATTAATTTAAGTGGTCAAAGTTTAACCACAGCTGCTGAGAGACTATGCTGTGTATGAGGGCACTAACTCATAAATTGGTCTTATTTTCCATTTTAAGTGTATACCTACACCACTATTACATTTTCTGTGCTATAAATGTTACATATCAAAGCGTCAGACTGCCCAAGTGCTTAATTTATTTTTTTTTAAGTGGGTGGGAGATTTTAAACAACACAATCATAATCATAATCATAATCATAATCATAATCATTATCACAACAATATAGGGGTATTATGAATTCAATTCTCCCTACAGAGCTGTGTCTTGTCACTTCTAATTTTGGATATTTTTAATCCCTTTATAAACATATTCCTGTTTAAGGTGCAAGAGCACAATTTTCTTAAGGGAAACATTGGTGGAAGTTGTTACACAAAAATGTCCTCAGCCCCTATGACCCCCAGAACTGGGGACATGGGCACAGGCAGATATGGGTAGGGAAATTCCTTGAATATCCAACAATGACATCCACCAGTGCACAATCCAGTCCCATGGAAAAGTAATGCACTTGTGAGGGTATTTGGGTTTGTCTTAGTAATAACTCTGTGATTAAATAAACCCACTGCCCTTTTCTCTGAATCTGATTAATAAGTAATTGATTACAAGTGTATAATCTTTCATACTTCGACAACAAGTCAAAAATTATATTTAAACTGCTGTGTGTTTGCCAGTCAAAATTACACTGGGAGGAGATTTGTCATTTTGGAATGATAAATTGCCTTGCATGGCATTTCAAAATAGAAAATGTCCTGTTTGTCCTCTTTCCTGCTTCTAACCATTTTATTGCTATTGGTACCAATATTCTAGCACTGCCCCCATTTCATTCAAAAAAACCCCAAAAGACTGGGGTAATATTGTAAAAAATATTTATGGGTATTCTGAGAGAAAAATAAGAATCCATACTAATGTGAGAGCAATAAAAAGTAATGCTGTAATTTACTGTTGTCATTCTCATTAAATRTATTTCATGATAAAATGACCCATCTGGAGCATATCCATAGCAGAGAACATATACCTGCCTTCTTTTATCGCACTTATTTATTTTGTTTAATGGGCGTAGTCTATAAATGAAGTGTAATAATTTTTATTTACTCTGGTGATGTCAGCATCAGTTTAAAAAAAAAAAATTCACATGCAACTTCAGAATTGCAGAATCAAATTTGTCAGTGTTAACATATTCAGACTGATATTATTCTTTTACTTTAACAAAGTTAAGGCCATTCCTTGCCTCTTTTAAGTATTTTGCCTCCTGTTACAAGGTAATAAATTTCAAGTATGACATTTAAAAGCTCTGTGTACATATAGAATGAAAAATAGTTCTTGTTGAATATAACTTTTCTTTGCAAATAAAATTGCTCATAAATTGATTACAAAAAAAATTTAGAAGTAACAGTATTATCATATTTTTACTGCTATACTTCATTCCATATAGGAATTTTTTACTGAAGAGAGGGATAAACTGAGTAATARATAAATAAATAAATAAATAAATAAATAAAATAATTAAATAGAATTAGAAAATTTGTGCAACATTTCAGAAACTGAATGTGTGTGTGTAATGTGTGAAATAAATATTTTTAAAAAATAGTGAAGAAATAACAGTGTATGAGCTCTGTTGAAACAGAAAGAACATATATTTTTCTTTTTTTAAAGTGTGCGTTTTGAGAAGACTTTATTTTTATGAATAGAGATTTATTAATTAGTTCAACTAAGAATATTCTTACAAAATCTGTAGCTAATCACCTTCTTGAATATTTATAACTCAGCAACAGTAGGAAGAGGTTTATATAGTCTTCCACAAAGTATTTCACAAACATTGACTTCTCCCATTCCCTGGCAGTAGACAATAATGACAGTGAAAAAATACAACCTTGATAACTCTAATGAAATAGCAGAATATTTTTCTGTACCAGGTTTCATAGCTCATTTCTAWCCTGCCTAATTGTTTTCATCATCCTGGGATTGGTGTAAGAGTCCATATTTTATTCAAATGAATGTTACTATGTTTAAGGATGATTAATGTTATTGCAATAAGTATCAAAGGAGGTAATCACAATATGCCACTTATGATAATGTCTCRCCATCCTTTTATATCACAAWGATGTTTTAGTGAATTTCCACCATSCAAAGCCAACCATTCTGTTATGGTTCACTGTGATTAATGTGACCACCAGTGAAAGCTGATAATAATTAGCCTCTTTCATAAATTGTCATTAAATAGAATGCATCCCATAGAATAAATTTAATGTMATTTTAAGTGTGAAACATGGCAAATGACTCCTCTATCAATTCATATGAAATATTGAATTAGAAGTGGAAGTCTACTATATACTGAAAAATGCTTTTGTAGTTCTTTTTTTCCCTAGATTTTGGTGGAAGGCACCGTAGATATGGTTTCACTGGAGACATTGGACTTGATGATGTGACTTTTCCAGGCCGTACTCTTTACWATAGTAAGAGTTGAAGTGCACATCTCCAAGCTGTGAGCTGATTCTTTGCTCTYATTTGTAAATGTAAAACTGCTAGAAAATAAAAACCAGGTAAACTGTGACTTATGCCTGACAAGGAAGTCCAGACTTGTTTCCCTGCTTCTCAGATCCTCATATCAAGCATCAGCCCAAAATAGTTTCTGCTGTGTATGAAAGATCCAAAAGACATCCTTAGTGAGAAGGGTGCAACTTCCATGCTGTTTGAGATCTTGATTCTTAGAAGGAAAAAGAAACTTACCGGTGTGTAGATGAGCTGAACTTTCATTGAGCCAGTTCAGTTTGATACAGCTTTCTACCTCTCCCAATAATTCTGAATGTGCTTTCTGTGCCAATTGCTCTCATGTGACAGCACACAAATAGTTCAAGTGACAGAGCAACCTGTCATCAAAAGTATTGTTCCAAGGGTGGTACTGTGTCGACAGAATTGTAGAATATTCTATCCCAAACTACATGTACTTCAAGACACCAGACTCAAGACCTGGAGTTCATCACTCAAGGAGTTTTAGGAGGGCTGCTGTTAGCTGCAGAAAGAATTGAAGGGTTAAATATGGTGTGACAGTCGCTATAAAGCAGTTATAGGGCAGTAGAACACCAAACAATTTTAAAGTGTCTGAATATTAGTAGCCTACTTGCTCTAAAACACCCTAGTGAAGATGCATTTTGTTCTTCTACTCCAAAAATCTCTTGTAGATATAATTAGTTATATTAGAGAAATATCAAAGGTGTATGGTATTTCTTTTGCAGGTAATTATCTAATGTTGTACCATATTTATACAGTATAAAGCAGTTATTATAATGTTTTGGATATAAAGGCTTTTTGCAAATACTCAGTTAATGTGCCGTGCATTATATTCAGGGAAGAAAATCTCAAAAGAACTAATCAGAAATATCCTAAATATCTTCAAATTATTTATGACTGAAAATTTTGAAAATAAACAAGACATTTGGAAAGTATAGACGGTCAGAGTTTCAAAGAACATAACTAAGAAAAAAAAAGCTGGTGGACAGGAATCAGGTTTTGATTCCTGTATATTTTAAAATGTTTTACCTGTTGAAAGCAATTTTTGTGGCAGTCTGGAGTCTAGCTTTTATTTTATCTCCACACCATAAAAATACCCCAACAACCAAGAAACAGTCAAAATACACAGGAGCTATGGCATGTTCCACCATATTTAACACTAGTTGGATCAGGCTGAAAAAGCAGAGTTCCCATGTCCCTGCACACCAAATCAAGAACTGCCCAATTCCTCTTGTTCCACTTCAAACAACCAAACAGTGACTGGGAGAGCTTGGCTTGGCAGCTCAGTGGTGAAGTCTCTCATAATAAATATTAAAGATGTTGAATTTTTTAACTACTGAARGTACTGCTTCAATACATCATTTGAATGTCMTWGMCAAAGGCTATTCAGTGATGCTYGCTCTGGACAAAATGATATTTAATAAAGTAYAGAAGATTAATTGTTTCAAAATGGAGGAAGTATCAGCTCCTCCTTTCTTTTCAGGTGTCGTGAAGGCTCTGGTACTTAAAAATTTCTTCTCCCATTTCAGTGGATTAGGAGAGACTTGAATGTGRCATTTATATTTAAAAATTTCTGTCCAGTAAGGTCCTTGCTATTATTATGACTTGTAGATAAATTTATCAATTCATACAATTCTTCCTKCAAAACATTCCTTCCCCTTAGTCTTTTGTTTGAATCATAGGACATTATGGGAATATAAATAATTTGTTTGGAGTATAATTTATTTATTGTCATAGATTTGCTTTCAATCCTGCAAAATAGAAATGGGTAATTTATTATCAATACYAGTGCTCCATCCTTCAGGGGGAAAAGAATTCCTTGCTATCCCAGACACAATTAATATAAAAAGTCTTCACATGTACTTTTTCATTAACTCAKGTATATTGCTCAGGTGCATTGTGCACTACAGCTAATAATTTCATAAACTATTAAATTTTAAAAAAGGAGTTTTATAATGAAAATTCCTTTTATGGAAAATAATAGCAAAGGTTTGCAAGAAAAGAGAAAAGCTTGAAGAAAGGTGCATAGTAAAGAGTAGGAGGCGAAAAAAGACAATTGATTTGAAAGAAGTGGTAATGAGTTTGAATGAAACATGAAGGAGGTRGGGAACAAGTTGGTGACCTCAGACTTATTTCTCTAATGAGAAAATAATTTTTTGCAGTGATAAATTTGCAAGGTAAAAAGGTTACATAGTAATTTCCACAGTCACTTGTAGTAATCAACATGTTAAAAAAACCCATTATCATCAGAATAATCTGTTAGCCTTGGTTCACAGGGAAAATAAATTTCTGTGATTGCTTTGAGTCTTGGCAATAGTCTTTTGAAATGACTCACTGGGTTAATCCTAATTTGAGAGACAGGCAAGAGGTGTAAATAAATTACTGCGAGTGTCAAAGATTGTATGGATGATGTGGCAAAACTAGTGCTTTCCACTTCCAGTTCAGTTCCTGCTGAGCAGCATTTAAATCACTCAACTCAAGCGTCCATCCATGTTTCCAGTAAAGCTGTACCCTGGAAAAGGGTGGGAGTGGCAAGGGGAGAAATCATTATGAAGCTGGAATGCCTTGGTGCAGGCGCTCAACATTATTCTGGCTCGTTTTTCAAAGGAAACTTGCCCATTATTTCTACAACTACTTCAGTAAATTCAGTTCCTGCCACGCTCCCCATGAACAACTGCACAGAGATGGAGTTTGTCTGCCTCCAGATGATCCAGAAGTGTGATTTTATACCTGACTGCTCAGGTAAGTTTGATGAATCAGCTTGTGGTGAGTGGATGAATTCATGTTCTTTGCTCCCTTATTGGTCTGTGGGTCTTAGATTCATTGCTTTAGCAACTGTTATCTTTGCCCTTTAGCACCTGGATATTATTTTAATGTGATTTTCCCCAGAAAAATAATAACATTTTGCTCTTAACACATGTGATGTAATGCACYTTCTGCCTTCTGATTCAGACTCAACATTTCAATTCAAGTTACTACTGAAATGTGGTAGGGGAAGGAATCCTCAGTTCCCTATAGATTGGTAACTATACACGACAATTTTAAGTGAGCACAGTGTCTTAAAATGTTCACTAGTCCAGACTGGAAGAGAGAATAATTTTATAGAGTTTCATGTTTGGGAGAGACATCTGGGAGAATTGGATTCACTTTTTCCTGCTTCAATGGGTATGGGTTTTGTTTGCTTGTTTGGTTGTTGCGTTTTTTTCATACAAAATTGTATCAGCAGCAGCAATTATTGTGAAATTCAGAGAAGTGAGTTCCATCCTGTAAAGCTCGGATAGTCTTACAGGAACACTGGAAGGGGGACAGTGGACAAGGTGCCCAGATGATATCTGTAAAGATCTAAAACAATTATTGATTGCTTCTGAGTTTCAGCAGTTCACACTGTAGCGTTTTAGAAGAAGCTGTTAATGACTTCCTTTTGCCTCAAAGAACAGTACTTGAAAGAACTGCTTTACCAAAAGCAGTTAATGAGGGGGACAGACATCTAGAGACAGTGACCTCATCAGCCTTTGCAAGCAAAAAAACTCTGAAATAAAAACTCTGAATTCATTACACATTGTGTAGAGAAGTCAATCACCTCTGTAAGGGCTGAGGAAAAGCATCATTCACTCCCTGTGTCTATTTCTTAAGTGGGAATAACTGGAAACAATGAATCTGATGTTTAAATATCATTGGGTAGTTTCCTGTAGTGTGAAAAAACACCAGCCACTGAAATCTTGCCCCGAGAAATAAATGAAGAGTCCTCTGAATATTTCTTCCCTCAAAAATCTACATTATTTTACAAAACATCTTTTCCTTCTAAGCAAGATAAATACTGTGGAGAATACACCTTTACAGATTTTYTCTGTCTGAGATYTCCMWTCACTAAGATGGGAATTTATCACTTAAATGACAATGCTGGAAGAAGACTTAAGTACGTCCTGACAGAAACAGAAATATGGTCACAGGAAGGTGTTATCTTTCTCAGAGGCACTTTAAATATAATGTTTACAGAGCATGTTTAAAAGGGGAATAAGCACTTAATGCAACTCATCATTCTCAGGAAACATCACTAATCTTTATATGGGCAACTCATGAGATCACACTGGCTGCAGTTTGCTTCCTTGCTGGGGATATATAAGCTATAAATCTAAACTCACTCTCTCTTTAGTCTACCATTTTTAGCCTTCAAGGAAGGAAGCATCAGGCACATTCTTCTTACTTCAACAAAGTTTGATTTCTTGATGCAGCATTTAAGTTCTATGGGTTAAAATAAATTCTCATTTCCCTTGCACAATTCTCATAGCAGTCACCTAAATGTAATTATCTGCTCCAAAGTTCTGGATAGTGACCAGGCTCAACCTGGATCACGTGCTGAAAAATAAATATTCATAGCAGAAATGGAAAATAAATTGGTTTCTTTACCCTAAGGAGGGTCAGTAGTGAGCTCAGTTTTCTTGTCCAGTTGCTCGGGGAGGAAAAACTCATTGAATGGCAGATGCATATTTATTTTAGTAAGACAACAATTCAGTATTGATAYCAAATAGATACATTCTTATGTACATTTCAAGTTTCGTGAGGCTACTGGTTTGATTTTTTAATTTTTTTTTTTAAGATTTTTAGTCATGGGCTTTGTACACAATATATAAAGATTTGCTAATGTCATCAGTCTACAGAGCTGGAGACAAATGCAGCAGCTCACAGATTCTCAGCTGATGAATTTTACATAAATTCCCATGTATATTACATGACAGATTATTAGASTGACCTGAAAGCTGGTCAGAACGCAAATGAAGGTAGATACTGAGGTGTAAATGAATTGGTATATTCCCAAAATTAGGATCTGTCTAATAGAGGAGAACATATAAAATTGATGTTTTATCTGTAAGGAAAAAACCTATACATGATACTAATGTGCAAGTATTCATGGATACTAAAAATTGAATCATTTTTATCTCCATGTTGCTTATTGTATTGTAGCATGAGTTAATGATTTTCAATTTATATATAAACATGAAGTAATGACTAAAGTTATGGTAATCTCTAAAGTTATGGAAGTCTGTGGCTTTGAAGATAAAAACCTGTGTGGATGGCATCAACCGATTTTGGAACATGTCAGGAAATTATTTCACACATATCACAAGTGGCATTCAAGTGGCAGCTTGGAAGAGGGGCAAATCTCTACCCTGAGCAAGAACAGCACTGCTGATTTCACTCACTGATGAGCTGATCACACTATTGAGTACATTTTTTCAGGTACTTGAGTCTCTTTTAGAATGTGTAATATTAACCACATATATATCAGGGGAAAAAACTGCTCCATTTACAATATTGAAACGGTTTTCTGGTTTATTAATGACATGTAGTGAACTGACAACCAGTGAAGTAGATGTGCAGGATCAATTCTACAGATGAATAAAAAAAAAAAAAAAAAAAAAAAAAAAAAAAAAAAAAAAAAAAAAAAAAAAAAAAAACCAAACCAAAAAAACAAAACCAAACAAAACCCCCAAACATTAAAAAGCAGGTACAAATTTCTAAACAGCTTTCTATAAGTAATTCCCAAAAGTTTAAGTATCTCCACATCCAGAGAAACAGATGTGCACTCCTTCTCCCACAGCATATGTGGAGTACAAGCATCTTTGCTCTTATCAGAAAGTGGGTTTGGAAGATTTGGCTGCTCCAGCTTTATGTACAGATGCACCCCAAACTGCCAGCCCTGCAGTTGTTGGCAGCATCCAGGGTGGGTGGTGCCCTGTCTGGTCTCTGCAGTRGTTACAGCACCAGCAAGATCAACTCTGGCATGCCAAAAACGGGTGTTGGCCACTGCTTTTTGCACTTCATTTTCAATCCCTACTGTTACAAATTTTCATCCTACTTTTACACTTCTTTTCAAGCTGGCTCTCCTTTGAAAGTTGGTTTTGTAATTACTTCGGTACTGTTTAATTTAGTTGATGTTGGTCACTGTCTTGATCAGTTTTAGGTGAATGCCTTCTCAAAAAGCCCTTATTCACACAGACAATTTATGGTCACTTTCCTACTTTACTAGGTATAATTAGTTTTTGTTAGCTACTGCTACCAATTTTATTATTGTTGCAGTTAACTATTACTGTTAGCTACTGTTATTATCCTGGCAGGTTTACCCAAAGATGAGCAGTACAAATTAACACAATATGTGAATTCTGCACTCATTCAATATTTAACTAATGTAGTTTTCAAACCCACTGCAGTTAGAGCTAATTAACTACTAACTAATACTGTAGTTAGAGCTGACTTTAGATGATATTTTATTCACAATTTATTTTTATTTTGMCATTTTTCTAGTAATTGATATAACTTCGTATTAAAATGTAAAGTATTTCTATTCTCTCAGTGGAGACTKGTAAATTGATACTGCATTCTAGGCAGATTTCTTAAGATAGTTACTAGCTCCCCTAAAGAAATTCCTTTGATTTATCTCAAGGAGCAAAAATTAGTTTTTCTGCATGAATATTTGGTTTTAAGTGTCTGTGGGGTTTAGATTTTTTTTCTCAAAGTAAGAAATACGTTTCAAAAATGTGTTCATCCAATCTATTCCAGTTAAAAATAACAGTAAGATTTATTGAAAAAAAATCCCTACAGGTAACTGGCAAATATATTGAATATAAACAACTTTCAATGTCTTACAGCTTCATTAATAAGAAAATTTTTGTACAGTGTAATCATTCTGAACAGTAAAATTCTTGCCTGGTTCTAGTGACATGTATGTTTACTTTCTGTGGCAATAGCCCTTAAAGTGCAAAGATGGTTGTTAGATTAAGACCACTCCAACAAAGTCTTTGCTGTATTTTTACTAGTTTAAAATTACATCATATTGCTTTTACTCAGCCGGAATTTCTATCACTATTAAAGAATGAGCTCAATATGTTAGTTTCAGTGTRTACTTCATTAAAATTACTGTATTTTTACAAAAAAAATCCCAAATCAACCATTCCAAACCCACAGAAAATCATTCAACAATAGGAAAGAATTACAGTTGTTTCTAGGTCTCTACATTATATCTGGTTGTTTCTAGGTCTCTACATTATATATAAAAAGGAAGTGTATTCCATAAAAAAGAGCAACTGTTTGCAATAAATTAGATGTCAAATCTTTCATGAACTGCTATTTAATTGTGATATATTAGCTGATACCAGCTCTGTATGTGTTCTGAGTAAATTCTCTCACAACCTTTCCACTACAGCTTTGCATTGGCACAGTGATACATGGAATTGTTTTACTGGTTTTCAGCATATTTTCAGGGTTTAATGCAACTAACAGTGTCTTGAAAAGGGCTGATGAAAAGAGAAAGTAAATGATCCATAGAGATTGCAGTTCTCAGGCARCTCTGAAATGTATTTCTCCAGTAATGTTTCACATGAGATGCAGTTTGGTTCTACACTTTCCCCCTTTCCTTTGTTTATTGGCCTATAGAGAAGTACAGAAAATGGATGTTTCCAAATTACCACAGGAGATGCAGAGCAGCAGTTTTGTTGAATTAAAACCCYGCAATGTTTAGTTTTATTTTCTCATCCATTTTCCCCAAATTTCCATGGAGTTAGATGAGACAAGCTGTGTTACTGTAATCTTGTATGTTTGCAAATGAAAATAAAATATGCAGGACTAGGTATAGAAATGTTTAGATTCATCCTGATGCAAGAGGAGTTGGCAGTGCAGCTTACAATGAGTTCTTCCAGCAAAAATACCTGTGAATACTTGAAGGCAAACCATCTGCTTTTCCAGAATAAGTATTTGGGCTAGCCACATGTAGACTGGTGAACTGTGTGGTGGAGGTGTGAGACTTTGAAGCTGTAATTACATTAATTAAGTGAAATTAATTACTTTGGAGATAGAGAGAACAGCTTGTATGTGTGTATAATAACCCAAGGCTGGAGGAAGAGAAGCCATTATGGGAGTCTGACGTGTGAGCCTGATAGTTTCTGGTTTGGGCTGGAAAAATTCTGCCGTTTGTTGTGCAAAGGACTAGGTGACACTGGCATTATGCACTGAAAATATCACTATTCTTGTAGGAGTGTAGAACTCCTGTGRCATGTCTCCATATTTAGGAAATGGAATTATCTATTGCAATCATTTTTTTTTCTGAAAGCTACAATAATAAAAGTGTCAGTTTGTGTAGGCTGAAAGAAGTGTATAGAATTGATATCAGCAAAAKGATAAGTCTATTAGTTTATTTCCTTTTCAGAGAATCTGGTTAGTGATGTAGCAAATTCTTTGACATTGTTAGTGCTGTTTGGGTACAATTGTTAATTGAAAACTGTAGTGACTTAATTGATATGATATTCATGCATCAAATATAATGAACCAAAACTGAAAATGAATGCAGAGAGAAAATTCTAACCTAACATGATAATTATTGTTGTGTAAATAGCTCCCCGGATAAACATATTTTTAACACRTCTGTCTTGCTTTTTTGTCTGCTATTCCAACAATCATGATCAGATTTCAGGACAGGAAAAATTAGGCAAAATTAAAGGTTTTAAATAATATACCTAAGCCCAGCAGTTTTTTCAACAGTCAAGAAAGGTTTTAAATTTGAGAGTCTAAGAACTTCAACAGAAGAAGAAATTATAAAGTATTGTGTGTGTGGTTTTTCTTGTTTGCTTGGGGTTTTTTTTTGTTTCCTGGTTGTTGGCTTTCTTTTTCTCCTGTGTCCAATTTAAAAAATACCATTTACTTTTAATAATAAGCTAATGGCCAGAAATYATTTGCAGGATGATGTAAAATTATTTAATTGCAAGTAATCATAATTTAATCAAATTTAATTTTGTACAAAGAAAGAGAATRTACCCAAAGTCTTTTTTACCTCTTATGTTAGGATGCCAGAGCATGAGATTAATGTCATAATGAAAATAAATTAAACTGTGAAGACTTTAATCGTTTTGTGTCGGTAAAACTTTGCCAACTCATTTTCTTTCTGGAATTCATATTTATTTTATCAAACAAGGCATCGAAGTTTTATGGATACACTAGGAGCATGGTCACAGATAGGAGTTTTCTTTTGGAATTTTGACTCTTAGGAACCAATGATAAATATACCAGTTTTATTTAGTACAAGGATTCCTTCTCACATTTCAGTTCTCTTTTGAGCAAATTTCAGTTTCCAATTACAGGTCTCAGTGTGACTTGTGTTCYGGTGTGTTAAGCACCTTTGGTTCCATTCAGTTTGAATTAAAGATTGAACTCAGTCCTGTATTCATCTGCCAAAGTTTAGATGCTCAAGATAGAAATTTTTATCTCTAGCACTGTGCAAAGAACCAGGCATCCAGCATTTTACAGACAACTGCAAACACAAGTAGAGTTTGGGTTCTGCAATTGGAAATAGCTCTGTGACATCCTTTCAGAAAACAGCCTTCCGAAAATTTTATGTCTACTTTATGATGGCATGACAATCATATTACTTTTTTTGGTTTCTGAGTTTATTATGCCTTCAGATTATATGTTAATGGATGCGGGAGGTTATTAGGGACAAAAAAAAAAGTTTCAAATTATAGTAAGAGAATTAACTCTTTTTTGGAGTAACCAGTTTGAAAATAATTTAACATATATGCCTGTAAGTGAAAGTCTGCCTTCCTAACAACTGTTTACTCTCAATTATCTTTATTTTGTTTTTTATTTTATACAAAAATGCTTAAATTTAGTTCAAGGAAAGCCTTCCTTTTTTTTTTTTCTTCTAGCTTTTAGATACCGATTTTAGTTTCCGGTCATTTAAGACCTATTAATAGTTAAGCGGTTGGAAGTGTTCAGCAGAGAAAATATTTCTCTGATGCATAAAATTAATATGTTTCCTTTAGAATGTTGTAATAATGGCTTTTGAATGCTATATATTTGTATTACAACTTTTGTTGCTAGAAAATATAACAAGTTTTCTTTCTATACCTTCTTAAATTTTTGGCAGAACTTTCACTCATCTGGTTTTTACACTATAAACAAGAATCAATAGGAATCAACAGAAAATGTATCACAGTTTACAACTACTTTGTGTGAAATAYATAAGGCATTAAAATATCAGTGCTATATTCTGATGACAGTACAAGAAAAAAATGACAAAAACACAAATATTTTTAATAAATATGYTTTTTAGGAATTAAAAGGGTAGAATTTAACTCCCTCTTAGCTATTTTTTTTTCAGGTTTTTTTTTTTTATGAGATATTTTTTAGCTAGGAAATTCTAGCTAATCAAAAAAAAAAAATCTGCAAATGTGTACTTTGGCAAAACTGTCAGCTGGTTACCTCTGCTCTGGGGGAAAGAATCAAGAGAAGAGAGTGATCTCCCTCAGTCCCCCTACCCTGATAAAAGATGCCAAGGTTGTGGAAAATGCAAACTGAAGCCACTGTCTTGTCTGATTCAAACCATCAGCTTGAGCTTTGTTGGCCCACATTTTCCAGATATTCCCAGTATCCCAGAATCCTTCCCATCTGGTCAAGAAAGTGCTTCTTTCAGGTGTCATCTAGTGCCCTATCAGGTTTTCATGATCACTATTTTGTTTTTTTCCCTATAMAGAAACCCATCTGTTCTAATAGCAGGTCATTCACCTGGTGGATCCTGGCAGATGGTGCTGAAGAGCTGGAGAATAAAGCTTTCAATGCATAATAGATGCAATATTTCTGTGGGGCTCTGATTTACTAGATAGATACTCTACGGTTTTTATGGACATATAAACTSACGAAAAATGGAAATGGATGTGGAGGCTGCTGCTTTCTGAATTTTGAAATTTAGTATGGTGTGCTAACCATTGGGATACTTATAACTCTATGGAAACTAAAATTTCCCTCTCCAGTTTGTATTTTCRCTTCATTTGTTTTAATCATTGTTGCTGAGATTTGGAAGGAAATCAGAACTTTTTAGTGAAAGGGAGATGTTTGCTTTCTAATCAGATTTCGTTTTCATTCCTAAAGAAAAATAATGAGTAAAGTGTATTTTGCAAGTCCATTTAAGTGTTTAATCAGGCATTCTCAAACAATTTGTAGAAGATACATAGATAAATTAACACTTATAAAACTGACCTATGTCCAACAATTCATTAAATAAGAGCTTGAACTTGCTGTACAAGAAAGTTCATCTAGATAGTTTTYGATCCGCTTTCAGATATTGCAACTATAGACAATTACTACTGTGAAATATGTAACTCAYAGCATGAGACATGACTTGATAACACTGCCAGATTTAAGATTGGCCAAATTTTTTGAAATGTCTCCAAATTATCTTAACCTACCTAATCTTTCCCTAATTAGTATCTTCAGTTCCCTGTRTTCTTTTGAATGCCTTGAAGGGGCAAATAGTGTGAAGATTCTTCTATGAATGCCCATTCTTTGCCAACAGTTTAAAAGATATTTGAAATATTAAGCTATTAACAGAGACAAGTATGCAAATATAAGTCAGTTGCTTAYGTTGAAAGTTTTATATACATTAAAATGTTGTGAATTTCCCTCTGAAATTAATTAGGATTATTGGGCTGGCACAGGAGTGTCTCTCTATAGGGAATGCTTGTAGTACAGARGTAAAATTAATTATTTTCAAAGGGTAAATATTGAGATTTTAATGACACTTAGTGTAGCTGCCAACTAAGAGGTTTTCCATGGGTTGGAAAATTGGCCAATTTCCATGGGTTCTAAATTGGCCTGAGCTCTTGCAGCTACTGGCAGGGGAGCTTGCCCGTACTCTGCTGAATTTCAGCACTTACATAAGATCTAGTCTGAAAGCCCGATTTATTAACTAGTATACATGTTGAAAAATACCTTGTTTCACACTTGTTACCATCAACTTCTTGAGGTCTCATTAAAAGAAAACCYCAAAACCCAAAACCCAGACAAATCAAGGGAGYACTTTCGCGGAATAGGAAAGAACTGAGTTTAAGGAGAGGTCAGTTGATTTGCTTTCAAAATGAAGAAACTGCTACCTTCCCTGAAGATCACTTAAAAAAAAAAAAGGCTGGGGGTGAAGACGAGAACATCTTCKGATCAGAGTAATAGAAACTGATAATTTATGTTTGTGGAAAACTTTGGAATAGCTTGTCACTGCATATTTCCTACTAGTTTAAAATACAAGTAGGCCGGGTAAGAAATCCTTTACTTTCAAGTCAGAGCTTGACAAACTGAACAAATTTTGCATGTACCTTAACTGGCTCTGCTAAAAAATTAGTGTCCACAGAAGGTGTGGGCCCTTTAGCATTTGAACTCTCTGCAAACAGAATGGTTACTTGTTACTTTCTTCAAATTCTTCCTCATGCAGATCATGCACCTCCCTATAAATTCTGTTCAGGCTTCCATACCAGGCAGCTTAAGAATTCAAGATAGGGAAATTACTTTGTTCTGTGAGAAAACATGATGCAGGTTAATTTTCACTAGAGGAAAGCTTTCCTTTTAAACCCTGATAGGTCACAAGTACGTTATTCTTGTAGTCCTAAGTGTAAAAATTTCTGTGATAGGAGTAAAAGTCAACAAAAATGCTCTACACTTATTTACCCATCCCCTTCTGATGCCTCCTTTTCTCATTGACCCCATAACCCAAACATTCTTGTAATCCCATACCACCACCGTGTTTAATGGCTAGCACCATCAAATGTTTCACACAGGGGGCATTCCTCTGGTTTGCTAGTTTTAAATGTGGTATTATAGCCAACACTGAAACGAGGTCAAAAAATTGCAGCAACACCTGCCTTCTTAGGATGCACATGGGACAGTATCTGGACATGTCCAGTATCTGGACAGGGATGGGATCTTTGGACTGCCTTCAGGTCAAAAACGTGTCTGACAGGACATACCAATGACAGATGGGTGATTGAATTTCATCATAGTACTGGTTGTACCCTGCCACTGTTTCAGAGTAATCTCACTGAGAGGCATGGCCATAATACTGAATACTCTGCTGCTTTTCAGAGCTTTTTATCATTCTGCTCCTCACAGTCCTTTTGAAAGCTGTTGTAAATACAGTGCCAACACCTTGGGCCATTGAAGGCATGTTCAATGAAGTTCCCAGAGGCAGAGTAATTCTGAATTTTTCAATCTTTTTGCAGACCTTAAGAGAACTGTATCCTCTTYACCTCCAAGCTAGACTCTGGTAGAATACTCAGCACCAAGGCATAAAAGAAACCTGAAATTGCTACCTCAAAATAATAGGTTTCTTCAGCAGAAGAAATTATCCAAATAYATGCTTCTTGAAAGATCTATGAGTTTTCAAAGTTTTCAACTCTTAGTTACAGTACAGACTTTTTATTCAGAGAATGTTTTAAAATTTAGGACAAAGGATAAAGTAAATGTATTCAGTAATTATAAAGATGTCTGAATTGCCAGGATTCAGTGATGAAAGAAAAGCTTCAGCAGCAATTGTCTCATCTGCCTTTGAATGAAAAGAAAAATAAGACCATGGAGATGATGCTGATTTGATAATGATTCAGATCATTATTCTTCCCCCAGGATTCTCCCCAGACAAACTGTGGTCCCTGCTAGGTTTATGAGCAGTCTTCAGTCATTTCACCTGTAACATGTCTGATCTACCAAAATGAGATCTGTACCACATTTTAAAATGTCTTTTTAATTGSTTGTTTTGTTTWGCTTTTATTTTTCTTTTCTGGTGCGACACCATGGGAGGTWGAAGCAGTCCAGCCAACAAGCAGTGAACCAGTCTCTGATTTGTGAGGATTTTTGAAGGGCTGTTTCTGAATCTGCTCCACCAAATTCCTTACCCTTCCCATTAGGCAGAATTTTCAGAAACTCTTCTCTTTGGTCAACATCTGCATTTTGTTTTGGAAAGTAAGGCTTTTAGGGACTAAATCTTAAATACCTGAAACACTAAAACCACACTTTTGGGGTCTTTGTACAATCAAGGATCTGCTGCTTACTTCAAAGACAGCCCCATCTTTTCCAGTAGCTCAGGAGACAAAATTTCACCCAATATCTTGGATTTTCTTGACTTTAAGCCAGGATTTCCCTGAGGATAGAGGGCAGTAAGGAAAGCCAGAGTCCCTCTAGCCCACATCTACATGATCCTGTGGGTTGATTTAGCTCTTTTTCTTTTTGCCAGTCTCTGATATGAAAATTCTAGCCTCCTTTGCAAGGTGGTTTTGGATTCTGGCTACGCAATAAGATGCATCCAGATACCCAGACAGCACATGCTATCTGGGGAAATACTGCAATCATAAATTGATTATGATGAAATGTTTTGTTTTAATAAATTATAATCCTTTTTCTCTGAGACTGAGCATTGAAGAAGGTTGGTATCTGATTGCAGACAGCTCAAAAGGAGAATTTGGTGACACAGCTGACATTCCTACCCCAGTCATTTCCCTTACAGAGTCCAGATGAAAAATCATATTCTGGAACCACATGAATGGTTCAACAATAGGTTCTCTGGAGGTACAGAGATGCTCTTTGTTTTGGTTTGATTTTGTTTCTGTTTTTATACATGAAATTACTGTGAGGAAATTCATAGCTTCTTTTTTTAGTTTCATTAAAGCCTAGGCTGCTAATAAATAAAAATGAGCAATTTCTGACACTTTATTGCTCTCAACATGTTACCATCTGAAGGAAGCATTAGTTCAAGTAGATTGGGGAAATCATACATTTCTACAACAACCAAAAATTCTGACCATTACAGACATATCATGGTCGGAAATTCCATACAAGAAAAAGCTTTTATCACCCAGTAGCATTTGATACTGAAGAGCAGCAATAGGTATTTGGACATCAAGGTCTTCAGCTAAATGTGGGAGCGTGAAAAAAAAAAAGTAATTTCATCAAGATTTGACATAAAATTTTATAGAAAGAGCTTTTTCCTTGACAAGCCGAACATATCACTTTTAGAGATTAATTCTATCCATGTAAGTAACATTGAACTATTTGTGTGACAAATAAGCAACAAATTTGCTTTACCACACCCTTTCCTTCACTCTGGTTAAAAAAAAAAATAAAAGCACTTTAAGGAAATTTAACCCATTAACAGCTTGTAGATCAAATGAGTCACTGTAGAGAGAAATGAATATAACAACATCATTGCTCTAAATGATGGGGTTTTTTTAACTGCACTTTTAACTTTTTAAGCTATGTGCTTACAATGGAATTTCCCAGGAATGTTATGAAATACCTACAATATCAAGACTGGATTGAAAAAAAGGCTCAGTATAAATTACCCAGTCACCTGTGTACCCAGTATAGTATTGAGCAGTGGATGTGGATTTAAATATACAAATAAATTCCCACTAGCTGAGTTGGTCAGAATAACAAATTATAACAAGCTGACAGAATTCAACTGTTTTGTAAACAAAATTAATATATGTGTTGACATTAGAAATGAAATCTGGGATGTAGTGACCAACACCCCATGTATGTGACTTGCTAATGTTTAGTGCAAGCATGCTCTGTGTATTCTTGGACTTTTTCCTAAACAATTTTTTCTTAAATAGTGTTGTACTTCTCCCAGCTAGGTAGAGATCTTGCTAGGCTGCTTGGYAAGCAGTCAAATATTAATTCATCAGAATCAGTGGGAAATCAGGGGATAAAGATGGTTCRTTCTCTGTTTTAAGTCTTGTGACAGATTAATGCACTTTTGGACTTCTTTGCATACTCCAGGGTCTAGGGCTTCTTTACAGAGTAGGAACCCATGCTGGAATCATGTTCAAAGAGTGTTTTATCGAAATCAACAGCAAATTCTATGGACCTGTGCCCAGTATTACCACCACAAAAGGCAAAGCTGTGTAGTATGGATTTTTTTTTTCTCAATTTCAACACAATTTTCCTCTTTTCTTTAGCTGATTCTCCCTCACCCCCAACTTGATTGACTTTCAGATGTACCAAAGGAAACTTTTGCACACTGCTAATAACTTCTTGGTTTCAACTGATGCATTATTCAATTAATGAGGTGTAACAATAACTCAGAATATAAAATTATTTAGGTGATTTCTCATTATTTATATTAAGAAGATTCTGAGTCTTGTGTGAATGTGAATGTTTTCTGTGCTTAAAAGGCTTTTTATTCACATCATCTCCAAGAGCACCACTTTTTTTTTTTTGTGGGTTTGCTGAGGACTTTCCTGCTGTTTGCATGAATGGCTACCTTCCTATTTTTCTACTACTTTCTGAAACATTGATTTCCTGTCACTTTCCTGAGCAACCTCAGTTTGATTATTTCTTTGAACCTCTTTTAGTTAGTTCCTGTACTTTGACTTAGCATGAGTAATTCTACCAAAGTGTTAGATGTGYTTTTTTGCAATGTAATTGAAATGTATAGAACTTCAAAGTGCATTAAGGTACAGGGAAACCTTGGGTTTTAATAACACACAAATTTATGGCCATACTTTACTCTAAAATTTTAACCTTTGGCATGATATGACAGAAAATATGAATTTCTGATGAAAGGAATTTGATATATAATAGTGTAGATAATTTACAGTCAGTAAAAGCGTGTGCCTGTGTGTCGATAGTCACACTACCTTCATATAAATGTATAGTTTGTATTTGTGAGTTAAAATAGGTATTTTCCTATTCTGCACACTTTATTCTTCCAAATATCTGTAATCCCTTTCTCTCTAATTTATTTATTTTCACTTAAAATTAATGTCTTCTAAGGGCAGCTCTTCCTGCCTGTACAGTCGGAAGTCACTTGTTTTTCTAYCTAATTTAATATATTGTGTGTTCCTTTTGTTCCCCTGAAGTGAAAGCTCTTTATCATGAGGATTTGCTGTTYCCTTGGCAGAACTTACCTTTTATGCAATATCATATACACTCATGGGACTGCATAAATTTAACAAAAAATAAGGTGTTTTTTCATTATGATGAAAAATGCCTGGGCTGCCCAAAGAAGATTACACAGAGCAGCAGTAAATCCTTGAGAGCAGAAGTGGTTCAGTTCACTGGTGAGTGGATGTTTAGCTCTGCTAGTACTGGCTGGAGACACAGCTTGACACACTTCATCAAACACCCATCTTGTTGTTGTCAGCTCACTTGAATTTGGATGCCCAAGAGGTTGGATCAAAGCATATTTTGAACTTTCTGCTTATGCTGAAGAGTTTCATCATTCCCCACAGTTTGCTATTTACAAGGGTATGGGCTTCTAAAAGACCTTATTGCTCAGTCAGATGAAATTTGCTCTTTAAGAAAAAGGAAAACATTTTTATTTGTGGAAGAAACAAAATATTTTGTACGAATCAGTACGAAAAAATCTATCCTGGAAGAGCAGTTAATTGTATGCATGAACAAGTAAGTGTTAGTGCTGTTTCCGTGTTGTACAACTGAATCACAATACACTAATGAAAAATTTTTATTCATTGCTAGCCACTCTGGATAAATTAATGAGATACGTTAGTCCAGTTARGTCTCTGGGCTGGGTATGTTAGAAGGAGATTAGAAAGATTTAAAAAATTATTTTCTTGGTATAGTCTGACATATCCAGAAAGGTTCTTCACCCAGAGGTGGGGCTGGGCTCTCCAACAGGATCCCAAGGGCCATTGGCACAGCACCAGCCTGAGGGAGTGCAAGGAGAACCTGAACAGTCTTAGTTATGATTTAGCTTCAGGTAATCCTGCGAGGAGTAAGGGCTTGGATTTGATGGTCCCTTCCAATTCCAGGTATGATTCTTTTAATTTTAATGGTGGAAAAGAGATTAGGTGTACAAGATACTTTTATACTCTTGTAWACAATTATAGGACTCTGAAGTGAGTTGGTAATGAAAACAAATTTTTGTGACCTAGAATTATTTTCTTTTTTAGGTACTCTGTAAAAGCAGTAACAGGACTTCTAAACTGTGCACTCAAAGTGGCAGCCATGGTCCCCAGTGGAACGGAGCAGAAGYGTTTTTAGGAAATTGTTCAAATTTTCAGGCATGCATTCCTATGTAGTACACTTCCAAGACAGCTGGCTTTTTGTACTTCTCTATTAAGCATTTTTCATCTTCTCATTTTCCTTTTTACCTCTTGCATGTATCTCTTCTCAAAGAAATCATCTTTTTGCCTGTCTGACTGGTTATCTGAGCTGGACTCAAGTTTTTGGAGATTTCTCACTCTTTAATCTCAGGWTGATATCCATTTCTAAGACTGAGATTCCTTTCTATCCTTGAATCTAGATCTGCTTAAAATATTCTACTTCTTTCTCCTTAGTGTGCATAAGTAAAAACATCTTTTTGAAAAAAGAACTGTGATCATGACATTCACTTTGAAATCAGACCAGATTCCCAAGCTGCTTAGATGTACTTGCTTAGTTGTAGACCCATAAAATAACAAAAACAAACAAAAAACTAGAAATACTCAGTAACATATTCTTTAAAGAGTTACATTTCCTGAGAATTCTGTCTTAGATTTTTAATGAAATTTTAAAATTCTTTTTACATTCATTGGGAATAAATGATRAATGACAGACTAGTGTGCATTTTTCAGACTTTGCAGAAGTAGGAGGAACTCTTGYTATTAATTCAGGATGGGTGAGGACTAATATCTCTTTGAGTGGCATAATTTATTTCCTTTTTTTGTGTGCTTGGTAGTGTTAGAAGATGGTCCTTCAATAACTATAGTGACAAATCTGTGCCAACTGTAGTACAAGATTTCATAGAATTATGGTTTGACAGAAAGAACTGACCACTTCATATTCAAAGATTTGTGAGGACCATCAATCTTTGTTCTTTTCATGTTGTGTATATGAGCTTTTCTACATCTTATCAGTGGCTTACTGTAATAGCTCTGTAATTTTCATTCGGATATTTTCAGGGCAAAACGTGGTATCACTTACATGGTGGATGTGGCAGTGGATGATATTACCTTTGAAGATTGTTCCCCTCTGCTTATCTCAGCCAAACCTCACACATCAGAGGAATTCATGTGTGCCAACAAGTGCTGCATCCCAAAGAATAATCTGTGTGATTTTGTAAATGACGTGCAGATAACTCAGATGAAAGCTCTAGTATTTGCAGTAAGTATGGTAGTTTTTTTTAATATAATTATCATAAATAACTGTGCCTGCTGTGAATTTTYATTACTCAAATACTTTTGGCAGCTCATCAGCTAAGAAAGCAAACAAGAAGGTAATAATTTAATTCTATTCCGTGGCTTTTAAGGATTTGAAATTACTATTATTTAATTTAAAATCACACAATAGAAAATACAAAGAACTGCTAATGAATTTCTTAAAATAACTCAGAAAGCAGSTGTCTTTAAAAGCAGTATAAAAATTATYCTGCTTTCCATATGAAAAGAATGTATTAAAGCTGAAAAAAATAATTCAAATGAAACACCTTTGGGAGATGAGGAACCTATCTCCTTAGATACTTCAAGGATTGTCAGGTCCCAGCAAATCATTTTAATCTGAATATTGTACAATTTTGGTTTTACAAGACATATCAAGAAGCAGCATGTGTAGTATCTGATTCAAAGGATGATATTTCATATCAAATGACTCCTTGTGGATCACAATATATGGTATTAACACCTCCGTTTTTTTTCTACTACAAATGTGGCAAATGCTTACACAATCAAATYTGCATTTTTTGATACGACATTAACWGTTGCCTCATTTTGAYTGRGAATATGAATKTGRTTTATCAAAATCTCAGTGAATACAATTCTGTGAAGAAAAGGTATACTGATATCCTGTGAAAGCTAAGGTATGTGGCAAAGGAACCATGTTTTGTAAATTATTTTCACACTATTAAAACACTCAGTGAATTCCAATCCAGGAACAGTACATCACTAACCTATATGGGGATCAGCTTAGATCTGTTGCAACTAAAAAATTAAGAGTATTTCAAGCTGCAATTACTCTGTCGAAAGATTCTCAAACTTTGGCTTTTATTTTCTGAAATTTAAAAAACCTGCTTATTTATGTGTGTTCTTTTTTTGTTTGTTTGTTCTGTGTTTTGTTTGTTTTTATGGTTTTGGTTTTGTTTGGGTTTCTTTTTTAGTTTTTGGTTGTCTGAATTGTATGTTTCCGATGAAATATCATCAGACAAGTAAAAACTGAAGCAGTAAGGGCAAAATGGTTCAAATAACCTGATGGAAGTTTTACAACCACTACAATAAGAACTTTATTCCTATTTCCTATTGGAAGAGATTAATTGAAATAGTCCTACAAAGTAAATGCTTTCCTTTTGCTAAATGCTAACACTTTTTTTATTATTATTGTTGTTTAGTACATCAGTTTGATCATGTCTGTTCTCTAGATATAGGCTTTTATTCCTGTATCTCTCAGGTGTTCTCACCTGATTTTCATATGTTCCTTCAGAAAGATGCTGATTTTCGGCACAGGTCTGAAATGCTCAATGGAGGGCAAGTTTAGAGACTGAGGACATAAAATAGTTTGCTAAATTTGGTTACATTTATACCAAGGATTCTGTTGACTATAATAGKGAAACTGGATTTGAGTGCTATGTTGTTCCATATTTTTCTAATTAACTACTTGAAAATAAATCACTTTTCATGTGTGTGCAAATATATTTCAGGTGCATCTATTGGCCACTGCAGTTTTGAGTTTGACCTTTGTGGATGGAAGCAAGATGTAAATGATGATTTCATTTACTTGAATGAAAATGAACCTAAGAACTAGCAATACTGGAAAACTGGGCACTGGACCAACTACTGATCATACACCACAAGAGCTATCTGACCATTATATTTTTATAAAGAGTTCATTTTTTTTATCTACTAGGACAGAAAGCTAGGATTTGTAATCCTATCCTAAGCAGAAGGAATAAAAAACTGAAAGGTACATGAGGATGTGGCAGTAATAGGAGYAAAGAATTTGATTTCTAGATTGCACCAAGAGAGTACTCCTAAAATTAATAAAGATGATTATTGAACTAATTTTTGAGGGGAAAAAACCCTATCTTGTTGTAGAGAAGTCAGGAMCTGATCTTATTTCATTGAAATTATGAGAAAAAAAATATATATCTTGGTGCAGGAGAATAATGATTTCTGGAACTAAATGAATGCTCCGGGAGATTCAGATGAAGTTGACAGTGAATGCAGTGTCTGATTTACAGTGTCTTATGCAAATTGTTCAAAGCAACAAACTTTTTAATGGTTTGTGATTTTRTGGAGAAAATGTGTATAAGCACAGTAACAACTGGTTTTCAAAGACTGCTGCTGCCAAAGGAAGGATGTGTGACAGAAGGCTTTGTCACCAGCTCTTCTCTAGAGAATGGAGAAATGTAAGCCTTGATCGTCCAAAATACTGCAGCACATTGTAGTCACTTCAGCTTGAACTATTTTTTGCAAATCTGGAATAAGAAAAATTCCCGGTTTTGATAAATCTTTTATAGCCTTTGCTAAAACCATCATTTTCCAGACACTTTATGCCTCATTTTGAAATGACATTTTTCTAAATTTTCATAGTCTTTAAGTGTCAAGGCAACAATGAGTGTCATCTCAGTTTCTATAATCAAACACAAAATGGAAAAGTTTGAACAATAATATTTGCCATTAATTCTAATTGTTAATAAATTGGTAATTATTTTAAATATTAATTAAAAATAGAGGAAACAATATATCTATATACATATCATCTACATGAAGAGACATATTGTGCATAAATGGAGCTGTTTTGGGAGGGAAAGCAGTTCAGAAATTGCCACTAGTAAGTTGTTTTGTTGCATTTTGATTAAATTATTTTTCAATCAGTAAAATTAATGGCTACTCTGCATGCTACTAGTACAGCTCAATTTAAGCGTTAGAGTAAATACAATCGCAGAATGTGTCTGAAGTCACCTGTTGCATACTTTATGTCCTTTTTTTTGCTCGCAGATAATTTTCTGTTATCATATGTATGGAGGTCACATGGGATCATTGATTATCTACCAGAGAACTACATMAAAACATGAAAAAATTCTCCTTAATCTTACTGGAAACCAGGGAAATTTCTGGCAGTGCAAGGCCCTGACCCTGTCTGGAGATGGCGATGATGATTTTCACGTTATCTTTGAAGGGGTAGCTGGAAAAGGTCCCAAACATGGCACCTGATGACCTCACATTTTCCAGGGAGTGCTTATCATCCCAGCAGTTTTTACCAGCAGGACCCACAAAGCTGCTTCCAACAGGTATGTGTCTGCTATGGATAGTCCTCATAAATTTGGAAAGAAGGAAGAGCAGCATTGCTTTAATTTCTTTGATTCTCTTTAATTGTGTACATATCTTGGTAAAGACAGGTAGAAATTAAAATACTTTTAGGCAGCCCATGAACTTCTAATATAATTATTTTATAAAATAATTGTCTGGGTACTGAGTCAACTCTTGTGAATCCGCAAAAGCTTTTGTCCAGCCACTTTCATTTAGTCAACACCCTGTTTAATTCAGTAGGATTTGTTTACCAAAAATTGTAAAATACGAAGTTGTAAAGAACTGAGTGGGACAGTGCTAATATGGATAGTTTGCAATATGGATAGTTTGCAGTAAGGCCAGCAGGCTTAGATGCTTTTTGGCTGGTGGGAATTGCTACTAAAACTGCTTAGGCACCRTATCCATCTTCTGCCTGTGTGGTACAGGGCCAGCATCAGTGCAATTATTTGCACCATCCTCACTTACTGCACAAGGGAAATAAAACTCAGAAAACATTTACCAGAAATAACACAGTTCAGATGGGGATGGATCCCAATAACCCCAAGGTAAGAGCTACTCATGAAAGCACCGATGCTGTAAGTTAGCAATATTTGCTTGGACACAAATGATGAAGGAGAGACTCTTTTTGACAGAACAGGACAAATCTTTTTCCTCCTTCCACATTTATCACAGAGCTACTGAAATGTAACCCCCTGAAGTGGAATTTAGGAGATGCATTTTGTTCCTGGGCCTACTACAAATTTCCTGCATGACTGCAGAAAGTCATTTTATCTCTCTTCTCTCTCTTTCTGATCAATAAAACAAAGTTAATATTTCCCAGTGTCAAGGACTACCGCAAGAATGGATCATTAATTTATGCGAGCAACTTTGCTTTGTTACTGCTGCTAATGAGTAGCCTTCCCCTTCAGGATGTCATTAAAAACTGCTCAGGCATTGGGAAAAAAACACTGATGAGACTACATCAAACCCAAGAAATTGCACTGAACTTCGAGCACAAGACAAGCAGGAAAGATACAGGCAAAATTTTCCAGACATCTCTCTGATAAGGTGCCAGTTATCGTTCTATTGTCTTCCTGCTTCTGCCAAGCCAGTCATGGAAATTTATTGCAAATGAGTTTGGTATTTTAAAGTTCAGCTTTATATGAACATTACCCCAGGAGGAACACTTGCCCAGCTTTCTGATTCTTTATTTTTGTTGTGTTCAGACTCTGTTCTCTTAATGGGAGATGTAAGTCCCTGTGGCAATGTTAGAAGCTTTAAAAGCTTTGGTTTTCATAGTAAAGGATGTTCCAAAACACTTTTATATTTTATAATAAAAAAGCTACTAAAATCTCAGCAAAGAGCCACCAGAGACTGATTTCTTGGTGTAGCTCATCTGAGATGTACTTTGTGGACTTTGTAGGTTCACAACACTTTAAGGTRATAGTTTAAATGCATCTTTATAGTAAACCATATTTTTTATATTAACAAATTTTACTTGGTCATGATAAGAGTTTACATGACCCACTGAGGGGTTCAACTTACAGCTACTGCTTAGCAGCAGTATCTGTTTAGATCATTGTTTGAAAGTGGGTCTGCTTCTGCCTGCAGAAATGGACTGAACTGAGGGAAAATGCACRCTGGGTGTTGTGGGAAATGCTCTGTAATGCAACTTTTTAAAATAGGACCAGGTAGAAYGGGCATGATGATCAAAGGCAAAAATCTGCACTCCCAGGCTTACTTGTCTGCTTATCTGTAGAAACAAAGGGAAGTTTGACCAAAAATAAAACACTTATATCCATTGCTCAATTAAAAAAAAAAAAAAAAAATCTGAGGATAAGGAAGATTGTGCAGCAGAGATCTGTTTCTTTCTTGTCTTCAGCTAGGGAGAATATTTGCTAAGAAATTGAAATGTTTCCTCTTTAATAGAAAGATCTGTAGTTTTTTTAGATCAACTGTAATACAATTCCTTTTAATTTATTTTTTCATATAATCTTTGTAATGCATACATCAAGACAGATTCTTCTGTGTCTTTTTTATCTGTATCACTTTTTAAGGCAAGTATGCTAAGAGTGTCTTTGCTTGTTATTTCTACACATAGATTGATATGGCAATGAATGTAAAGACTAAATAGAACAGAATTATTAAATGTTCCCATCTGTGACACAGATGCTCACTGTTCAGAAGGGATTTTCCCTGACTGTATAAACACCCTGAAGTTCTGCACATTAACAAAAGTATATTCTAAGGTGATTGTTTCTTTCAGACAAACACCATAATCTTTCAGAGTGATGTTCAAAGGCTGGAAGTGAGTACTGGGCAGCTGAAGAAATAATTTTGAAAGTTAGCATTGTAATTTTCTGTAAACTACAGGATAGTGTGGATTGTTCTCAACCTGCTGCTTAGCAASAACAATGCTGAAGTGCCAAGCCACTGAGAGCTACTTCAATTGCTGGGCCTGAGAAACAATAAACACCATTTTAGKCTGGTCCTTATCAAATTTTCATGGTATGAACATCAGTTTTTGCTCATGTGCCACAATGGTACTGTGTGTAGRAAAATGCAAAGACAGTTTTGTTCCAGTGATGCTATTTGTGCCTATTGCTGTGTCTCTGCAGTGCAGTAAGATTCTTGATTTAGGTTCTGCCTCGTGTAGGGGGCTGCCTGTGTCCACATCAGCCCAGGAAGACATCCTGGCCACACTGAACCTCGTCAAAAAGTTGCAGTTGYTTCTGTATTTGGTTTGTGTGRCAAGGTTTTGGCAGCARGRSGATATAAGGGTGACTGCTGTGACTGTGCCTGAAGCTTCCCTCGTGTGTGACAGGGGCAATTCCAGGTGGCTCCAGAATGGAACTGCTGCTGCTCAGGGCTGAGCCTGTCAGTGATGGTGTTATTTGTGATAACACATTTAAGAAGAGGAAAAGTTGTTGCATAACAGCAGTTGCATCCAGAGAGAGGAGTGAGAATATCCGAGAGAAAGGGCTTTGCTGAYACCAGAGTCAGGGAAGAGGAGCAGGAGAAGGTGCTCCAGGTGCTGGAGCAGATTCCCCTGCAGCCTCTGGTGAATACCATGGTGAGCCAGGATGTCTCATTGCAGACCATGGAGGTTAATGGTGCAATAGTTATCCACAAGTTATCCACGAGTTATCTTTTGTACTTACAGTTGTCTATAAAAAAAGATATCATGGATTTGACAACAATTTCCAYGATCTCTAAACTTGGTTTTCCTTCCTTCTTTCCATCCCTTCCCTCCTGCAGTGTTGTTACTGACTATAAAAATTGCAGACWCTTCCATCAGAGTTTCTGCTCATGTCTCCATACTATTCACCTGGGAATWCAGCAGCTGCCAAGGGCTGCCTGATCAGATTAGCAGACTACAATAAAGAAAAGTTATTCCCAGAGACTAGAGAGCTGCTATCTGTTGACTTCAGTTCTGWAGAGAAGACAGTTATTTTCAGCAAATTAAAAGCAATTCACTGAAGTGTGGAAYATGTCTTTGAGAACTTTGAGAATATAGGAATATTGACAGAAAATCACATCAAGGTCCAATTTCACTTGATATCCTGTCTGCTGCTGCCAGTGAGATGCTGAACAAATACCATACTTCCTCTTAATGTTCCTAATATTTCCTTTTTAGGAGACCTTACAAACCAAATGTGGTTTTGGACATGTAGTAACCCTTAATGTATTTACCTTCTGTATAGAGCCTGGTTTCCCTGGGGACACATTCAGAAGTGTGGCCCCCTTCTCATTTTTGCAGTGAGTTGTAGAGTTCTGCCGCTTGCTGAGAAAGCGGCTCTGGTTTTGCCTTTGACTGAAAACGGTGAGCAGCCAAACACACCTACTCCATATTGTTCTCTATGCAAYCATCCTTAGGCAACATTACACACTGAAGGAGTTCCAACTTATTTATTACATGGAAGCTATTCCATATGTTCTCCTTTCTCTGGCTTTTAAAAAAGTCTACTATTTTTTTGAGATTATAAAATCAGGTCTGCTTAAAGCATTTAGGAAATGAGTGACCAGTGGAATGATCCTGTAACAAAATTATTCTTTTTCACTTTTCTCTCCTTCCTGATAAATTTTAAAGCTTTGATTGTTCTGTTCTTTTTGAACATTGGGCTTTTGTGTTCCTGGAACTGTTTTAACACTCTACTGTGTCACTCTTGAYGAGTGGTAGTGATAGGATTCCACAACCATACGTGAAGATGGACTTTGTTATTCTATGTAAGTAAATTAACACTGCATTTCATTGCAGTCACTCAGGGGGCAATTAATTTGCTGAATTGTGACTGTTTATCTCCATTGCAGTTGCATAAAATAACCCTACACCTGTTGRGGCTGGATGTCACAGGGATTATAGGAAAGTGGATGCCCTGTAATGGYAGCTGATGTCAGGAAGGTTTTTCAGTTCATGACTAACACTGCGTATGGTCCTATTAAGCAACTTCATTTTCACAAGAAACTTTTCCTATTATTTAGTTTTTTCTTGCTTATRTCACCCTTATTACCTTCATATCACTGGCAAAGTTTCTTAACTCAAACTCATGCACTTCCCTTGTCTTTTATAAGTAAACAGTACAGAATACAACTATTTTTCTGTTCCTCCCTTGTTTTTGTTTTGTTTTGTTTTTTGTTGTGGGTGGTGGTTTGTTTTTTTTTTCTTTTTTTTGTTCCATACTGATTTTTGAATCATTTTAGTAAAAACTTTTGCTTCACAAAAACAATTTAAATTGATCAAATTCCATCAGAAACATAATTAAAATGAATATGCCCAAAGTAATAGAACCATCAGGAAATCAAAGTTGCTGAAAATATTTCCATTTGAAATAATGCTCAAAACTCTAGAGTCTGCTCCAAAGGCCAAAGGATATTGCTTATATCAGWCTTTTGCATAAGATTAGATCTATAAAAGTTTATAGATCTGTAATTGGACATGTTAAAATTTACAGACACATAAATAGAAATAACTTTGGCAGTTTTTGTAACTAATATATAATTACTAGAATAATAAAATTTTATGGTTTGGTGCACAATGTGATATTCTACTGAAAAGAAGAAAAAGATATATTTCTTTATGCGGAACTAATTGAATAACAGAACATTTATAGCTTCCTTTGAAACAGCMAGCATTGACCATTGACTGAGAGAACTGGGAGTGAAACAAATAAAGTAGAATGTCTAAAGCATTTTAAAATCAGTTCTGGGAAGAGAAAGAAAAAAAACAAAACTGAAAACAAATAAAAACAAACAATAATCCCAAAACCACAACAAAAAAAAGCCTAACAAACACCAACCAACCAACCAACCAACCAACCAACCAACCAACCAAAGACCCTTCACAGAAAAACGCCAAAAAAACCAAGCCTATAAAGAGGACTCATAATTTCCTTTGGAAGATTGACTTGGTTGCCTTAATTGCATACAGCAGATTGTGAATTTTTTTTCTTCATTGATACCCGAACAGCAACCTACTCTTGGATGTATCYAGAATGAAGTTCCATGCAAGTGGCAATTTTCATTTTCACCTATACAACAATACAAAAGGTTTATCATTACAGTATTTTTAAACTAAGAAATCAATATGCTTAATTTTTTTTTCTTTCTCCTTTCTGGTACAGGATACAATTATTTACAGAATTTTCAGAAAAATGGTGAAAATACTGTAGAATATGTAGATTGGTTTAGGAGCTTGATGCAAAGCTATTACTTTTCAATATGAAGTAGTCATGCATACAGGTGACTTGAATTCAACTTCTACATATATTGTCCACCACTTATGATGAAAATTATCCTTTTAATGATRGTGAAGGAGAAAAATATATAGTCATGATTTTGGTGTTGTATTTTCTAAATTTTTTTAAGATTTCTCCACCTAAATTCCAAGTCTGTATAATTGTAATCACTGTACTTTATCAATTTAACTGGAAATATTGCCCTTCTACCTTCCTTTTAATTCTACAGTTTCTTCTGATCGTTTTTGCTTGTTGGTAGCTTGGACTCTGATCTATCTCCTTTTATTCTGAGCTCTAGACTTACTAGATTGTATAATGGTTTGAAAGCAATGTGCCAATTTGCTAAACTAAAAAAGAAAATCCCATATATTTATGCTGGTGTAATTTGCAAAATAATGRCAAAATTTAGAATGAATTGTAATTTTAAAGGAGTTAAAAATACTTTTTGGCTGTGGGTATTTAGGATACATTTCAGTCCCTAATAAGTTACAACACTTGAACATACAATAAAATAGAGATAATTTCCATGGATTTGCCAAACTTTCTTAAAATTTTGTCCAAGAAACAAAATTTTTCCCCTAGGTATTCCCAGATCTATCATGTTAAATGTGAAATTAAAGTTCCCAAATTCCTTGGATCAGCAGTCAGATGAGAGCAGACCCTGGACTGGGCCCATAATTGATTACAGCTCTAGAACTGGTACTTTCCTCTGCATTTCCTTCAAATTCCTTTCCGAGCAGAGAAAAGATGAATGGCAGAGCTTACATGGAAAACACTGTGGAAATCCTGTGAAGTGGCATCAAACAATTTCATCAGGGCTGCCTTTCTAACCATGAACTATTCTGCTCTTCCCATGTTCACTCTCTTGCTAAGCAGATGTGCTGCTACTTGCTGACCTCAAAGTGCACTGAGAAACGTGAACGTGCTGAATGGCAGTGCAGTTAATAWAGTTAYWAATGCTTTRGGGAAYAAAGGATTGTACTGGATTGGATTAMYGTTAAATGAGAGCAATAAAAAWGGCTTTTGTCTTAATTGTTCATACTGGCTGGAAAAAAAAGATAAGGAGCAGAACTCCTTAATCACACTAAGAGACAGTGTAGCAATATTACAGTATAAAAGCCCCAAGTATAATTCTTGTTGCTTTCAAAACCTCACCCCAAAGCACCTTTGCTGACTTTRTAGGGATAATTTTAGTCTTTCTCTTTCAGTGTCTGAGAACAAACATATAACTCAGAGAAAAGTGAAAAGCTGACCATATTTGAAGCTACATTTCTCTATGATGCTGTGTGATTAAGGAGTTTTTGGGTATCTTTCTCCTCCATCAAGCATAAGGCATTTTTCATTTTCCTGTTGACCTCTTCAGTGGAGGCTTAAATGTGTGTGGAAGGTCATTCAAGACATCAGTGAAATCTTTTAATCATCATGTCCTCTTCAGATGAATGTGGTAAATACAGTAATCCTGAAATTTATTCCTTCTGAGCAATGACAGATGAGGATTCATAGGGGTCATGAGATTCAATTTAATCAGTTTTGGGMAGTGTCAGTTTCTCCTACACCTGACCCTTACATATTTCTGAAAGTTTTAAATATACCTGTGTTTAAATATTGTAATTTCTTACAGAAATTTTGAGCAAATTATGTTTCTTGCAGCTCTTTCATACTTCAATGCCATCTGTACACAACTGAGAATTCTCCGGAAAATTTCCTTTGTAATTTATATCTGTATTGTTGAATATTAACACTGGTTTAAGGGAAGAGATTGACATTTGTAAATAGTAGAGATCCCAACTGATGATAGATACATCTTTTGTTATCTTCCCCTTTTTATATTGAACAGTCTTATGTCAAATTAAAGGCATGACTGGACCACCTCATAGTGTCTAACATGGTGAGGAAAGTGACATTTTCTGGAAAACATCTGAGATCTTGTGGACATATAATAGAAAGGCAATTTACTGCTTATACTAAGTCTTTTTACATGCCTTTATTTGACAGAGAA